CACATGAAATATTTAGGGAAACAACAACATACACCCAAGATCTGCCACCAAAAACTACAAAATATTGCTGAGAGAAATTAACTAGAAGCAATAAATGGATATACACTGCCCACTCATGGATCAAGAGGCTCAATGCTATTAAGATGCTGGCTGTCCCAATATTATCTATACAGTCAACGGAATCCCAATGAAAATGCCACCATGCTTGACATGACAAAGTAATAATAATAGTAATAATTACTTACTATAACTTATTATTTACTTACTATAACTTATTACTAAATAATAATATTACTATATTACTATAGTGATAGTAAAATATGCAAAGAAGTTGAGTTGTCAAAAGATCTTGAAAAGGCTGGGCACAGTGGCTCACACCTGTAATCCCAGCACTTTGGGAGGACTAGGCTGGCAGATCACGAGGTCAGGAGATTGAGACCATCCTGGCTAACATGGTGAAACCCCGTCTCTACTAAAAATACAAAAAATTAGCTGGGCATGGTGGCGGGCTCCTGTAGTCCCAGCTACTTAGGAGGCGGAGGCAGGAGAATGGTGTGAACCCCGGAGGTAGAGCTAGCAGTGAGCCGAGATCGCGCCACTGTACTCCAGCCTGGACAACAGGGGGAGACTCCATCTCAAAAAAAAATTCTTGAAAAAAAGAACAAAGCTGGAGGACTCACACTTTTCAATTTCAAAACTTACTACAAAGCTATAGTAATCAAGAGACTCTGATATGGGCAAAAGGATAGACATATACAGCAATGGAACAGAGAGAGAAAGAGACAGAGAGATTGAGAAAGAGGAATCTCATGGATTGGAAGAGACTAAAGAGACATGAACTAAATGCATTATAGGATACTGGACTACAGCCTAAAATAGAATAAGGACATTAGGAAAAAAAAAAAAAAAAAACAGGTAAAATTCGAACAAGGTATGTAATTTAATTATCAGCACTGTATCTAGGTTAATTTCTAGTTTTGATCATTGTGCCATGATTATCTAAGACAATAACGTCACAGGAAACAAGGTGAAGGATACTCTCTACACCATCTTTGCAACTCTTTTAGGTCTTAATTTCACAATAGAAAAAGTTTTTTTTAAATGAGGCATCACTGCACTTTCAATAAAATAACTAAAAGCTTAAAGATGCATAATTTCAAGTTCTGATGAAAATTCAGAGCAACTAGAAACCTCATACTTTTCTGACAGGAATGCAAAATGACACAACAAAATTGGAGAATGTTCTGGCAGTTTCTTATAAAGTTAAACACTTACTATTCAACCCAGCAATTCTACTCCTAGGCACTTACCCAAAAGAAATACAAATTTATGTTCACACAAAGATCTGTAAGTGAATGTTTCTAACAGCTTTATTTATAATAGCCTTGAACTGTAAACAGCCCACATATCCATCAACTGCTAAATGGATAAACAACTGTGGTACCTCCAGACAATGCAATACTATTCAGTAATAAAAAAAAAAATAAGCTACTGACATATGCAACAACATGGATGAATCTCACAAACACTATGTTAAAATACAAATGTCAGAAAAAAGGCAATATTTTCATGCCAGAAAGGAGATCACAGATTGGCATGGGTGGACGAGTAAGTAAAAGAACTGACTAATCATCCTTTTAATCAATTGGAACTATGAGATACCATCTTTCAAAGTGGTTTTTATCTTTTAATTTATTTTTATTGACATTTTTCTTTTGGTGTATATGTTTTAACATTTGACATGGACAGTTTCATGTAAAGTTTCAAATGAAAACCTGAATAAAGAACTTTAATGAATAAAGAACTAAGAAAGACAACAGAATAAAGTACTGTACAAATAAATTGAGAAGTATTTACTTTAAAAGGGGTGACACTATCTTACAGTTGCATGAATAACACATTTTTATATTTCATTAATAACTACTATGCCTTATAAAGAGAGATTCTTAGACAGGTAAGATAAGGGTTAAGATTCAATTTTATTAATTTCTTTGGAATAAAAGACCAAAAAAAGAACAACAGGAGTAATTAGAAAAGTCAGCAGCAGAATTAAAGTTAGCCAAGATAATGAACAGATGTTATATGGTCTTAGTCATCACTAGGCTCTATGCTACATATTTCAAATGTAACTTTCCCGCCTTCTCTAAAATATAGTAGCTACACTGGGTGCAGTTGCTCATGTCTGTAATCTTAGCACTTTGGGAAGCCAAGGTGGGTGGATCACCTCAGGTCAGGAGTTCAAGACCACCAACATGGTGAAACTCCATCTTTACTAAATACACAAAATTAGGCGGGCATGGTGGCACATGCCTGTAATCCCAGCTACTCAGGAGGCTGAGGCAGGAGAACTGCTTGAACCCAGGAGGCGGAGGTTGCAGTGAATTGAGATTGCACCATTGTACTCCAGCCTGGGTAAAAGAGCGAAACTCCATCTCAAAAAATAAAAATAAAAATAAAATGTAGCATCCACATACAAAATAAACTGATACTCTTTTTAAGTGATGAGTTTACTTGCTTTGAAAATATCATTGAGTTATACTGTATTTGATAAAATAGTATGCCTTTTCTATTTCATGGCATGAAGACGGCATTAAATAAGCCAACTAAATATTAATATTAAAAATTGAAATCTAAGAAACATTTTCTCCATGCTCATTAGGTCAAGCAATTCTAAAACAATGTTTTATAACTGAATAACCCAAATTTATCCTACTCACTTCCACCAATTAAAGGCATACAGAACACCACAATTGTATTGTTTGAACTAGAAATAATCTTAGAGGTAGATTTTAGAAAACTGCTCTATCCCAACGTTTTCCAATGTTTCACTCAGTTAAGCACACTTTTCATGGTAACTAGTATATTTCTATCAATTTATAATTTAAATTTACTATAGCAAAGATTGCCCATATGGCTATTAATCCCATGCCCTTCTCCTGAGCATAAAGAAAGTTAAACTTCCCAGCCTCCCAAGCAGTTAGGTTAGACCCCATAACTAGGTCTGAACAATGGAATGAAGGCAAAAGTGATCTTCCTCCACATCCAGGCCAGGACCCAACAAAATCCTCAATTTGTCCCTGAACAAGAAGAAAAGGACTCTAAAATGAAGGAATGAAACAATGGATCCCTGAATCACTTCTTGGAGGAGAACCACCCAAACAGCATCAGAGTGGGACAAAAATGGATGCCTAACAAGAGAGGCCCTTAAGCTTCTAAGAATTTGGGTTTATTACAGCACTTTCCATTAAATGCCTGGACTAATACCTTCACTTTAATACCTGTAGTTTAAAATAAAATATTATAGCACTATTCGTAAATGGAAAACTTGTGTTTTTCTAATATATTTTCAAGTAAACACTTAACTATTAAAATAAGAAATGTTAGCTAGGCATCATCTAAAATCATTTCATCAATAAAGAAAGTAATAAGAATTCCACTCTTTCAAAACTGTGAGAAAATTATTCATGAGGTGAAGATAGGAAAGGAACAAATCTTTCGGGAAGAAAAAAAGACCTATTAAAATTAAAGTAGGCTGGGCACGGTGGCTCACACCTGTAATCCCAGCACTTTGGGAGGCTGAGGTGGGTGGAATACCTGAGGTCAGGAGTTTGAGAACAGCCTGACCAACATGGTGAAATCCCATCTCTAATAAAAACACAAAAATTAGCCGGGCATGATGGTGCATGCCTATAAATCCCAGTTACTTGGGAGGTTGAAGCAGAAGAATTGCTTCAACCTGGGAGGCAGAGGTTGCAGTGAGCCAAGATGGTGCCATTGCATTCCAGCCTGGGTGACAGAGTGAAACTCGTCTCAAAAAAATTAATTAAATTAAAGTAAATTAAAGTGGGCCTCAAATATGTCTTTTAAAAAAAACAATATTTAACAAAGAAGCAAAGGCATAATACATAAGAATTCTAACTCAACATCCAATCTTTCGATTCTATCACTCATCTATTCCTACAATATATAATACCTAAAGAACATGAAATGTATATCTTTGATCTACTTTTATTCTGCTTAACTAAACCTTAAACAGAGACCATCCTAATATATACAACAGCCCTTGGTAACTGCGGGTTCCACATCTGTGGATTCAATCAACCACAATTCAAAAACATTAAAAAACAAAAAAATGGAGGCTTGCATCTGTACTGAACATGTAAAAAGTCTTTTTTTCTTGTCATTATTCTCTAATACAAGATCACAACTATTTACATAGCATTTTCACTGTATTAGGTATTACAAGTAATCTGGAGATGATTTAAAGTATACAGGAGGACTTGTGTAGGTTATATGCAAACACTTTACCAATTTTATATCAGGAACTTGAGCATCTGTGGATTTGGGTATTCACAGGAGATCCTAGAACCAATGTTCCACAGGTACCAACAGACAACTGTATATAACAAGTTGTGCAAAGCCGCTCTTTCGAAGTATTTGTTGTGTGATTACTAGATCAAACATTTTTGAGAGTACACAATTGAAAGATAAATCAACAAATTATGAAACCTGCTAGAAAGTTTCTATGATCATGTCTTTTTTTTTTTTCCCAAAGGAATTCTTGCAATGAGCAGGTATATTGCATATATAAATTAAACACAAAATCCCCTCCCAAAACTGTTTTAGATCCTTCATTTCTAAGACATGTTACTAGTTTTTAACTTGTAATATGGGTTTTATCATTTTTTATGAGAAAACAAAATATTCTAAGAACCAGTTTCAGTAAAAACTTATCAACTAACATGAGCTTTTCTCTGCAGCTGGGTTATCAACATCAGAGGATGAAATATTTACAATAAAAACAAATGAATAGTATTCTGAGAAGAAATGCTTTCTAGCCTCTGTTATTATATTTATTCTCAAAATACCTCATATGCATTAAGTTACATACGTACCTTGCTATAGAGGCTATGATTCCTACTTTTTTCTACTCCCCAGTCTTTTAAAAAGTTAAAAATAATTTAGCTTATTTTAAAAACAAGTCAGTGGAAATAACATACTTATCAGATTTCCTTTTGTATCCCTGAGAGGAGCACCACCTCCACCTTTTCCCCAGGGATTATATGTTCTCATTTCAGCTTCTAATTTAGCTTCATATTCTTCTTTTTCTTCACGTTCTTTCTTCCTTCTTTCTTCTCTTTCCCGAATCTTGACAACATAAAATATATTTAAAATAAATGCTGACAAGTATTCCAATACAAGAAGTTAGTAATACCAGATGTTACTTTTTGTTAGAAAAACGAAAAAAAAAATTGTTTTCTTCAGTATACTCCCCTACAAAGATTAAAATCACAAATACGTAATACTCAATGGGCTCATGCCTACGGAGGTCAAGGTGGGCAGATCACGTAAGGTCAAGAGTTCAAGACCAGCCTGGCCAACATGGCAAAACCCCGTCTCTACTAAAAATACAAAAATTAGCCGAGTGTGGTTGCGCACATCTATAATCCCAGTTACTTGCATGGTTGAGGAACAAGAATTGCTTGAACCCAGGAGGTGGAGTTTGTAGTGAGCCGAGATTATGCCCCTGCACTTCAGCTTGGGCAACATTATGCAAGACACTGTCTCTAAATAATTAAATAACATTAAAAATAAAAATAATTCAATGGCTAGAATACATAGCCCCTGTTCCTCTATATACACCAAATGACTTTCCAGCCACTAAGGCTATTTCAGACTCAACTAACTCCTCCTTCCCTCCCCCAGTGTCTACCTGAGCCATTCCCTCTCTAACCCTGACAGTTCCATGGGACCATCAGATGGGACCATCAGAACCATCCCTATGTTCCTTTTTCATCTATCCTTTCAAGGGGAATGCCCAGCCACAAAGTCTACCCTCAACCTTACCAGACCTACTTTCCCTAGGCAAACTCTATTCTCAAAACTCTGAGGTTGGAGGATCAATGCTCTCTGGGGAATGCTTGGCAACGTTAAATACAGGCACACCTCATTTTATTGTGCTGCACTTTATTGTGCTTTGTAGACGTTGAATTATTTTTCTTTTTTTTTTTTTTTTGAGATGGAGTCTCGCTCTGTCACCCAGGCTGGAGTGCAGTGGCACGATCTCGGCTCACTGCAAGCTCTGCTTCCCAGGTTCACGTCACTGTCCTGCCCCAGCCTCCGGAGTAGCTGGGACTACAGGAGCCCCCAACCATGCCCAGCTATTTTTTGTATTTTTAGTAGAGACAGGGTTTCACCATGTTAGCCAGGATGGTCTCGACCTCCTGACCTCATGATCCACCCACCTCAGCCTCCCAAAGTGCTGGGATTACAGGCATGAGCCACCACGCCCGGCTACAGACATTGCATATTTTACAAATTGAAGATTTATGGCAACCCTGAACTGAGGAGGTCTATCAGTAACATTTTTCTAACAGCATGGGATAATTTCATGTCTCTGTGTCACATTTTGGTAATTCTCACAATATTTCAAACTTTTAAAATTATTATTGTATCTGTTATGGTGATCTGTAATTGGTGATCTTTAATGTTACTATTGTAATTGTTTTGGGGCGCCATGAATCACACACACAAAAGATGGCAAATTTAATGGATAAATGTCATATGTATTCTGACTATTCTACCAATCAGCCATTCCCCTGTCTCTTTCCCTCTCCTTGGGTCTCTCTTTTCCCTGATAGAATACTGAAGTTAGGCCAATTAATAACCCTACGATGGCATGTAAGTGTTTGAGTGAATGAAAGAGTCACACCTCTCACTTTAAATCAAAAGTGACAAATGACTAAGCTTAGTGGGAAAGGCTTGTCAAATGCATAGATAGGCTGAAAGCTAGGCATCCTATGCTAAATAAACACTTTGCCCAGTTGTAAATGCACAGGAAGAATTCTTGAAGAAAATTTAAAGTGCTACTCCAGTAAACACATGAATGATAAGAAAGTGAAACAACCTTATTGCTGTTACAGAGAAAGTTTTAGTGGTCTAAATAGAAGATCAAACCAGCCCAGGATTTCCTTAAGCCAAAGCCTAAACGAGAGCAAGGCCCTAACTCTCTTCAATTCTATGAAGGCTGAGAGAAGTGAGGAAGCAGAAGAAAACTTGCAAGTTAGCAGAGGTTGGTTCATGAAGTTGGGGGAAAGCTGCCATCTCTATAACATAAAAGTACAACATGGGCCGGGCTCACACTTGTAATCCCAAAACTTTGGGAGGCCGAGGTGGGCGGATCACCTGAGATCAGGAGTTCGAGACCACCCTGACCAATATAGCGAAACTGCACCTCTACCAAAAAGACAAAAAAAAAAAAAAGAAAAAAAAATTAGCTGGGCGTGATTGTGGGTGCCTGCAGTCCCAGCTACTCGGGAGGCTGAGGAGGAGGTTGCAGTGAGCCAAGATCGTGCCACTGTACTCCACCCTAGGCTGGGCGACAGAGTGCAACTTTGTCTCAAAACAAAAATAAAAATAAAAAAGTAGAACATGAGGCAGCAAGTGCTGATGGAGAAGCTGCAGCAAGTTACCCAGAAAGTCTAGCTCAGATAACTGATGAAGGTGGTTCCACTAAACAACAGATATTCAATGGAGACAAAACAGCCTTGTATTAAAAGAAGACTTTCATAGCTAGTAAAGAGACATCAATGTCTGGTTTCAAGCTTCAAAGGACAGGCTGACTCTCTCATTAGAAGCTAATGCAGCTGGTGACTTTAAGTTGAAGCCAATGCTAATATACCATTCTGAAAACCTTAGGGCCCTTAAGAATGATGCTAAATCAGCCAGGCATGGTGGCTCATGCACTCTGGGAGGCCGAGGCAGGTGGATAACGAGGTCAGGAGATGGAGACCATCCTGGCTAACACGGTGAAACCCTGTCTCTACTAAAAATACAAAAAGAAAAAAAAAAAAAAAATTATCCGGGTGTGGTGGCGGACACCTATAGTCCCAGCTACTCGGGAGGCTGAGGCAGAAGAATGGCGTGAACCTGGGAGGCAGAGCTTGCAGTGAGCTGAGATCGCACCACTGCACTCCAGCCTGGGCAACAGTGTGAGATTCCGTCTCAAAAAAAAAAAAAAAAAAAAAAAGGATGATGCTAAATCTACTCTGCCTATGCTCTAGAAAGGAAACAACAAAGCCTGGATTGCTGCACAACTGTTTCAAGAATGGTTTACTGAGTATTTTAAGTCCACTGTTGAGACTTACTAAAAAAAAAAAAAGAGAGATTCCTTTCAAAATATTACTGCTCATTGACAATGCACCTGGTCAATCAAGAGCTAGATATACAAGATGATTAACGTTGTTGTCATGCTTGCTAATACAATACCCATTCTGTAGCCCATTAACTCATTCAGTAATTTTGACACTGAATTCTTACTGTTCAGGAAATATGTTTCATAAAGCTATAGTTGCCACAAACAGTAATTCCTCTGATGGATCTGGGAAATCTAAACTGAAAGCCCTCTGGAGAGAATTTACCATTCCAGATGCCATCAAGAACATTTGTGAGTCATGGAAGGAAGTCAAAATATCAACAGTATCAGAAGTTCGAAAGAACTTGACTCTAACCCTCATGGATGACTTTGAGGGATTCAAGACTTCAGTGGTAGAAGTTACTGCAGATGTGGAAGAAATAGTAAGAGAACTGGAATTAGAAGTGAGGCATGGAAGACTTGAGAGAATTGCTGCAATCTCATGATGAAATTTCAATGGATGAGGAGTTGCTTCTTACAAATAAGCAAAGAAAGTGGTTTCTTGAGATGGAGTCTCCTCTTGGTGAATATGTTGTGAATATTGTTGAGATGACAACAAAGATTTAGAACATTACATAAACTAAGTTGATAAAGCATCAGCAGGGTTTTGAGAGGACTCCAAACTTTGAAAGAAGGTCTACTGCGGATAAAATGGTATCAAATAGCATCGTATCCTAGAGAAATCTTTTATGAATGGAGGAGTCAACTGATGCAGCAAATTTCACTGTTGTCTCATTTTAAGAAATTGCCACAGCCATCCAATATTCAGCAACTGCCACCCTGATCGGTCAGCAGCCATCAATATTGAGGCAAGACTCTCCACCAGCAAAAGGATTATGACTTGCTAAATTTTTTTTAGCAATACGGTATTTTTAAATTAAGTTTACGTATGTTAAGACATGTTGTACCTTAACAGACCACAGTATAGTGTAAAGATTAACTCTTTGTGCACTGGGAAACCAAAAAATTCATGTGAATCATTTCATTGTGATATTTGCTTTATTGCAGTGGTCTGTAACCAAACCTGCAATATTTCTGTAAAGCTGTATTCAGTAAAAAAACAAACGCATTCTTATCATCACTAAGTATAAGCACAGGGTTGTTCTGTAGAGACATACGGATAGACAATAAACAAGTGTCTACATTTTGGAAAGTCACTTTTAAACTCATAACTATATGCACAGTAAAGTTAAGCAATCTTTTGCTCCAGCATAGCCAAAGAAGTCATCACACACATCAAACAGACCTCTATTGAAAAATGTAGTTTTGTCAGTGGTGTTTTTAACATGCTCATTCAAAAACAGATTCTGAATTTAAAATTCAGTCTTTTATTTGTAGAATCCTAACATACAAAAAATGTTGGTAATTCTGTAATTTTAAAAATCTTTCAAGAAAGTTGCCCATGTAAAAATTGAACAAAAGTACTTTTAAAAGAAATCCAAGTGGAATTCTATAGAAAAGTAACTAAGTTAGAGTCCCAGGGCCCTCTCAGAGGGTAGGGGAATTCCCACAAAGAACCCCACACATTTGATAGTTACTCTTAAATTCTCTGCAAATATTACAAACTACAAAATAATCCATTATCCTCCTCTGTAAACATGAACTACTTCCTGTTTTCTCTATTTTGGTTTATAGCCTCATTATTCTCCTAGGAATCATCTTCAAATCCTCTGTTATTTCTCCCTCCCTATATCTAAGTCCTGTCAATGAAACCTGAGAATTGTCTCTTAGATGTCTTCCCCAACATCCCCATCTGGTTCAGGGCCTCATCACCTCCTTATTGGACTATCTACTAAATAATTTCCCTGCCACATCTCTTCCCAATTGTCCAAATCACAACCAATTATCTTCATAAAAGATAAATCTGCTCAAAGCAACCAATCCTTTCATACTTTTCTTGGCTTAAAATTTCCTTCCTTCAGCTCCCCATAACCAGATGAAACTGAAAACCCCTTATTAGCTAGTCCTTCACAATCTACTAGAACAATCTAACCCTCCAGCCCCTTCTTCCACACCAATTCCATTCTCTGTATACACCAGCAACTTCTAATGTATTCATTGCACAACATGCAGCTCAAATATCAGCCACTGCGTGAAGTTCTCCCAACTGCCCCAGGCAATTATTTTCCCTATCCTATGCTTCCAAGAGCATTTTACTGTATCCACTTCAAAACTCAGCATTTTGAATTATAATTAACTGGTTTTTTTCCCCTCCCCTGCCACACTCTGAGCTCTAAGGGACCACACCATGCATACACTTAAGATGTTCAACAGTAAATGAGTAAATGAATCAATACCTGCTGCTGCAAAGCCTCTTGGTAAGACTGAAGTGACTGTTTGGAAGGTTTCGGTTTATCTTCAAATATCAATCCTGAATTTATCACTTGATCACTTGTAACCTTCAGTTCATTCTGTCCAACCGTATTCCTACATCAAATACACAATAAATAATTTAAATCCATCGATGTCAAAGCAAGAAGAAAACACAACAGTTTTTTGAAATAGCATGGCATATAAATACATTTAAAAATACAGAAGGATATTTCTCTATAGGCCAAAGAGGAATCCTTAAGTAAGTGGCCCCTTCCTTAGCTCCTTTCTGCCTTTGTTTTGACAATCCTTGCAACTTTCAAATTTACTGCATCTATTTCTTAACCTAAGTAATAGTTACACGGGAGTGAAAAAGGTTTGTGGTAATTCATTGAACAGTACACATGTGACTTAGGCAGTTTCCTGAACATACAGAAATAATAACACAGCCAAAGTCCCTCAAGTAACACAATAACTAATGATTTATTTTTAAATGATTTACTAATAAAATTACTTCTTAGCTATTTCAAGAATAAAACAATGTAATTACAGGAAAAAGTCTATCTCAAATAAAATTAAAATTTTTGAAAAACTCACAAGGAAACATAAAAGAAAAAATTTTAAACATATTCTTGTTATATAAATCACAAGCAATAAAGTGCTGTTTCTTTGGGTTTTTTTGAGACAGGGTCCTACTTCGTCACCCAAGCTGTAGTGCAGTGGCGCCACCATAGCTCACTGCAGCCTTGATCTCCTGGAATCAAGTGATCCTTCAACCTCAGCCTTTCAAGTAGCTGAGGGTATAGGTGCACGTCACCACACCTGGCTCACTTTTTTTAGAAACGAAGTCTTCCTACATTACCCAGGCTGGTCTTGAACTCCTAAGCTCAAGTGATCTTCCTGTCTTAGCCTCCCAAAGTGCTGGGATTACAGGCGTGAGTCACTGTACCCAGCCAACATAACACATGTTTAAGTACAGGAATATACTGACTTTGAAGGCAGTAAAACATTTTAGAAATCTACATTATAAAAGATAAATTCAAATACTGATTTTATAATTTTTTGTTTTGTTTTGTTTTGAGATGGAGTTTCACTCTTGTCGCCCAGGCTAGAGAGCGATGGTGCCATCTCCGTTCACTGCAACATCCGCCTCCCGGGTTCAAGCAATTCTCCTGCCTCAGCCTCCCGAGTAGCTGGTACCACAAGTGCCCACCACCACACCCGGCTAATTTTCGTATTTTTAGTAGAGACAGGGTTTCACCATGTTGGCCAGGCTGGTCTTGAACTCCTGGCCTCAAGTGATCCACCCGCCTCAGCCTCCCAAAGTGCTGGGATTATAAGCATTAGCCACCGTGCCCAGCCTGATTTTAAAATTTTAAAAAAGCTTTCTCTTCTCCAAAAATATCACTGCTTTAAAAAATCAGTTCCATTGTGTATTTACCTTTTCTAACTTACTTACAATCTTTTATTAAGATAAACAAGTATGTTTGTGTATACTATCACATTGGATTATGAGTGGGTAAAAGGGAAGATGAGGTAAACTAGATCAAATAGTTCCTGACTTTTTATTTTTTCAGAGCAAGGGGGCTCTTTTTGTGTAAATGAATAAAGAAGGTTGAGAGGGTCTATGTGAGTAAACTCATTCTCTCAAAATATACTGTTTATAAATTATATGGTGGATTGGTTCTCTCAATATCTATTTCACTCATGATCCCTCCTATCTATATCGCCCACATACTCACAGACCCAAATTCTTAACCTTTATCTATCAACTCCTCCCTGACTCCCCCAAAAAGGGGGTTTAAGGATTTATGTAGTCAGATCAGGATGAAAGGAAGGAAATGATTAGGATATTAAGTACAGTTATCCCTTGGTATCTCTGAGGGATTGTTTCCAGGACTCTCTGCCTATACCAAAATCAGAGTACACTCAAGTCCCAAAGTGAGCCCTATGGAACTCCCACATAAAAAAAGTAGGCCCTCCACATACATAGATTTCACATCTCACTTTATTTATTGTACTTTCTATTGCAGTTGGTTGAAAAAAATCTACATGTAGGTGGACTCACAGTTTAAACCTGTGTTATTGAGGGTCAACTGTGTACAATTAAACGATTTTTAGTAAATTTATAAAGTTGTGCAACCATCACCATAATCCAGTTTTAGAACATTTTTATAACCCAAAAATATCCTTCATACCCATATGCAATCAACCCCTACTCAACCCCCAACCCCAGGTAATTAATTAAGTAGCCTACTTTCTGTCTCTATAGATTTGCACTTCCTGGACATTTTATATAAATGGGACCACTATAGTATACATGTATAGATTTATTTATCATAACATTTATAAGGTTCATCCATATTATATCAGTAGTTCATTACTTTTTGTTGCTGAATAGTACTTCATTGCATGAATATAACATATTTTGTTTATCCATTCACTCACTGATGGACACTTGAATTGTTTCCACTTTTTGACTATTATCAATAACGCAGCTATAAACATTCACATCCAAGTCTTTGCATCTACATGTATTTTTATTTCTTTTGATTACATGACTAGGAATGGAATCACAGTGTCATATTCTTTTTAAGGAACTTCCATTTCCTGCAACTGCTTTTGATATATTGATTTTGTAATCAGTAATTCTGTGAAAACTTTCATATTAATTCCAATATTAACCATATATTCTTTTGCAAATAACAGCAGTTTTCTCTCTTCCTTTCTAATCCTTGTACCTATCTTCCCTCCTTTCTTTCTCTTATTTTTGGCCTTGCTGAAATTATTAAGCCCTGTGAAAGGAAGCAATGATAGAATCTCAAAAGGAATGTTTTAAATCTATCACCATTAAATAAAATACATGATGTAAGTTTTTCATGTTTATAGGCTCCCCTCTAAACTACTTTATTACATTTTTAATCACTAATGAAATTATTTTAATGGTTGTGTCTATTGGGATATCATACAGCCTTCTTCTTTATTCTGTTAACATGGTAGATTACAGTAGTTGATTTTATCTAACACCAATTAGCTCCTAGTATTCAGACACTGTCCTAAACACTTTACATATTTTAACCATTCGATCATCAGAAAAACCCTATGAGGTGATACCATTATTATCCGAATTAACAGACAACGAATAGAAGTAAGAAATATACCTCAAGCTAATGCATGGTAAAAGTAGGATTCAAACCAAGGCAATCAGGCTACGAAGTCTAGGCTCTTAACTGATATACTCTACTACATTTAATCATCCTATATTCGAGAGTAATTCCAATTCAAGATCAATAATCCTTTCTCTATACTTTGAGGTTCAGTTTTAGAATTCTTGTGTCTGTGCTAATGAGTGTAACTAGCTTGTAATTTTCCATTTCATACTGGTCTTATTAGGTTTAAGTATCAAGATTATGAAAGTCTCATAATAGTAACTGGAGAGTATTCCTTCATTCCACACTCTGTATTAGTCTGTATAAGACTGAATCCGGCCAAGAAGCTTTTTTTTTTTTTTTTTTTTTTGAGATGGCATCTCGCTCTAGTCACCCAGGCTGGAGTGCAGAGGCGTGATCTTGGCTCACTGAAACCTCCGCCTCTCAGGTTCAAGTGATTCTCCTGTCTCAGCCTCCCGAGTAGCTGGAACTACAGGCATGTGCCACCACACCCAGTTAATCTGAGATGGGGTTTCACCATGCTGACCAGGCTGGTTTTGAACTCCTGACCTCAGGTGATCTACCCACCTTGGTGTCCCAAAGTGCTGGGATTACAAACATGAGCCACTGCACCTGGCCAACAAGTTCTTAACTTATTCCATCACCAAAGTTGAAAAAGATCAGACAGTTAATAAAACAAACAATTTCCCAATTCTATTTTGGTTCTTCTTTTTTGAATTTTTTGCTCTATTACTGTAGTAAGTTGTACCTTTTGTTCCTATACTTTTAGTGGCTACACTAGAAATATAATAACACACCCATCTTTATGAAAGACTAAAGCTAATCAAAATCTTTACCATCTTCTCAAATGATACAAAAAATAAAGTGTGCTAAATTAATGAAGTCAATGGAAAGAAGACAGATTGTGTGTACATCAAAATAGCTCACAGAGTCACAGGTTCCTTCCACCTCTCATGCTAAAATGCTTGGAAACAAATAGAGATATTTGAAAGTCATTGGTTTGTAAGATAATTCAGCTGGTCACTCAGTTATCTAACTTTTATAACAAGTTTACACTTTTTAATGTGGCCTTCAGAAAAATTTAACAGAAAAGAACTTATAAACAACTATACTGAGGATGGGAATTAGGATTAACTATAAATGGGCATGAGGGATCTTATTGGAAGGATGAAAATGTTATAAAACTGATTTATAGAAAGCACTTCTAGAATGGCAGAATAAGAACTTTAAGAAAACCTGCTACTCCATTAAAGCAATGAGAACACGAGTCAAAATTGTCAAAACCAACTTTTTAATAATTCTGGTGCCATGTACTGAATTGTGTTCTTATATCAAAGCCCTGCATACTATTCTAATGGTATTTGGAGCTGGGGACTATGAGAGGTAATTAGGTTTAGATGAGATTAGGAAGGTACAGTCCTCGTGACGAGATTAAGTGTACTTAAGAAAAACTGGGGTAAAATGGAGTGGGGGAAAGACCAGAGACCTTGCTCTCTCTACTACATGAGGATACAATGACAAAGTCAGGAAAAGGGCCCTCATCAGGAACCAAATCTGCTGACACCTTTATCCTGGACTTCTATGTCTCCAAAACCAAGAAAAAATGTCTGTTGTTTAAGCCACCCAGTCTATGATATTTTGTTATAGCAGCCTGAGCTAAGTAATTTGGAAATTCATGGAAGGCTTAGAACAATCCAAGGAGAGTTTTTGTTTTTATGTTAAGGTTGGTTTTCAGTAAGAAAAACAAACTTTGTGGCATTTGAACTTGCCCTTTACTTTTCAATTTCTCCTTAGCTCTATCATAAACTTAAAATCTAAACGCTGCCCAAAGACAGTTGCTGTGAAAACCAGTAATCTAGTATCCACTGGACAGGTAGAATAGGTCTGGAATTCCCCAAAAATCCAATCTCTAGAAAAATCTCACTTTTGGCCTGTCTGGCAGCTCCC